TTTTGTATCCGTATCCTCAAGTCATTGCGCTAATTCTTTACCATTCTCAATATAGTTGATACTATGGGTAGTTTAAACTTAGCTGGCAGATAACCTTCATAATTCTTCTCATGGTTGAGGTATTCGCAAGTTTTTTTACGGGATGCTTATTTACTGTCAAATAAGTAGCATATCTAATAGTGGAACTTGACTTTCAATAGGATTTTAATTTAATTCTGTTACCCGGCTAAAATATTCGTATTGTACTAGTCCTCGCGTCCTCTTAATGGTACTGTTAGACTAGAAGCATCAGCTACAATATCGTATGTTTTGTATACTGACGAGTGATGCTCAGCCTCCTAGTCATATTTCGATATGTTAAATTAACTGTCTTCCTTGCAGGGGCCAAGTAGACATCACGGGCGTGACCATAGACATCGTGATCGTAGTCATGACTGGAGCAGGATCCATAAATCACAGAGAAAAAATAACGACTATGTTGATAATGATGGTGCTTTGACATCCGCAGCCGCGATGAGTGCTGGCTGGACTACTTCTACAAGCGCTTCCCATGGATTTAGCAGAAATAGGTGAGTCGCAAGTAAGAACATTTAGGTATATTCCAGACGATTGAATGATTAATTCTCAGTTTATTTAGGGAATCTGAACGATATGGACCATTTTGCCCTCGGAATTCTAATATTTCTCCCGATCACTTCTACAATCAGTACTCCAGTCAAAATCCAGCATCAAAATCTCACTCCCGAATTAAATCCAGCGTTCCCTTCTGGTCGTCCAATAGACTCTTGGTGCAGCCATCATTACCAGCGCTTACTTCTCCGAATAGTGGGTCTGCTTATTTCTCGCAAGCACTTGGATCATTTTGTCAAGAGCCACCCAGTTACGCCGAGGCTGATTCAACGCTTAATGTGCATAAATCATCTGATCCCATTGCAAGTTCGAGATCAGTTCTTGTGCATTTACGTCAGCCGACTCAACTTTCTAGAGATCCACGACTTGCTCCATCAAAATGATCTCTTGGGTATATGTGCATTTCACTGTCAATACCATTGATGATATATCTTTCCACATCGATTGATTTATCGCATGGCGTGTACATACTTGACCAGATAGTGCCGATGTTTATCTTATTTTAATATCGGTTCTTTTTACCGTTTTTAGCTGGCATGGCTGGAGATATTTTTTACCTGTGAATCTGACGTCTGGGTTTCGTATGCGGGCGAACTGTTTTGCTTGCTAATGATGTCTTTCTTCTACATCTGTATATAGTTTGCTTAGGATCACTTATGATCAAAGAGATCATAAAACCGGGCATTTTCTTTTTGAAACTGCTGGTTATTTTTTTAGAATGGAATCCTTGGCCTCATATTTTCGATTTGTACAGTTAATTAAAACGCCATTTCCATGTATAATAAATGATTTCGTCTGGCCCGATTTCTTATTTAACGGTAAATATTTACTCCTGGTTGTACAAGGTCGTACCTCGAAGCTATATTTCTTCCTCGCCTCAGCACTAATTGTAATCTCGTCTTGGTTGCGGTGGTCAATGAGGTTGGATACGAGGACCAGGCTAATTGGCAGCTTTGTGCATTTTGCACCCAGGGTCCTGTAGCCATTTTTTGCTAGTTCCTTACATTAATTAGTGAGCTAAAGTGCACAAAAAGCCGATACCTCATATATTTGCGAGCAGCGGCTTGTTCGTTGTGCCAATCTTTCCATTAATTGATCGGGCGGTTCGCATTTATTGGGGCAAGCAAGCTTGATGTGTATAAAGAGCTGTTCCTTTATTCTTCCAGAAAATGGGTACGCCAGTACTTGTCAAAAGTACATACTTCATTCCTCGGAGTGTTTTATCAGTGTCCATGGGTTCACAATGCTAACTGTTGTCATCAGAAGTAGATGGCACTATACTTTATTTTCCGATTGAAACGGTAGATCTCAATTCTCTCGTTGTGGAATTTACCCCTTTATTTAAATGAGCATGCATCGCAGAGACCAAGTAGAATCAAGTTCTTTTTGTTGAAAAATAATCATATTCAGTTACAAATTGATAAATATTTCTCGGCTAATACTTATGATTTATTTTTAGTATTTATTTTGCTCGGACTCGGGGTCCGATTTTGCTCGTAGGAAAATTCAACTATTAGTTCTCCTTAAAGCGAATCAGGCCAATGCATCTCGTAAATTGCCAATGTTCCCATCAAGTGAACTTGGCGTTGTTTATTTCGGTTTGTACGTTCGAAAGCCCTTGAAGGCGCTATTTCACTTCTATGTATGTATCAGCCCGTGTGCTAAAGTGCACTTTTTTCAACTCTGAAAATGAATAGAAGTTGTTTGATGTTTGGAAATAATCTTGCATACAATGGACTCCGGACTAGGTGCGATCCTCTAAATCTTCCTAACAAAATATAGCCAAGGTATGAAGACCAAGATGGTGTGGCCGCAGTCTCCTTC